ACCAGTGGCGGCGCGTGGCTCACGCGCCGCCGCTGGGAGAGTTGGAAAATGTGTGGATCTGAAACAGATTCCTCCTTTCTTGTCTCCCTCGCCAGTGGTGACCTGCAAATCAACAGAAAACACAACAACACAATTGATTCTTTTTTTTCTTAGATCTGTTTAGATATGCTTCTCTCTCCTTTCTTGGGTAGTAGATCGGGCGGCACTGATGGCTATGCGGACATGCTGCTGCTGGACGGTCTTCACCCCTGCTGGTGGTAGTTGCTGCGTTGACGGTCTTCTTCGTCCTCTGATCTGGTGACTGTTGTCTATGGGCGCTGAAATCGCGGTGGAGATGGGCTTGCTGGAGGTGTTGCTGGTGCCGTTGTTCGGCCTCCGCCAGGGAAGGAGCTGCTGGGGGAGGCTGAGAGAGGAGAAGGACGGCGCTGCCGCCGCCGCCGCTGGATCTGCCAAGAGAGGGAAGAACAACGGTCTTGGAGAAGGGGAGAAGTTGTGGTGAGGAGGAGACAACGGTCTTGGTTGTGGTCTGTGGGGAGAATGGCGATGGAGACGGCGTGAAGCTGAAAAATTGAAGCCAAGGGGGATGAGATGAGGGAAGATCAGGCTGGGTTGTGAGAGGAGGAATGGGGGCTGTGGAAATGTGGCCGGCCGGTGGAGATGGGTGAAGGAGAAGAGAAAAATGGAAAATGGGAGAGGGGGCGGCGGCTGCTGGCCTTGAAAGTGATAGTTTAGGGCTCCTCTTTCCTCTTGTTTTTTTTGTCAAAATTGCCCCCCCTCCCTTTGTGTTAAAGGTTGCTATTTATAGGCAAAATGTTGCTTGGATTTCAAAATTGGTCCCTCAATTTTATTTTTTTTAATAAATTTTGATTTTTTTTAATTTTTTTGTATTTTTTAAAAAACAAGCAATATCAACATCGACTCAATGAGGAAGATCAATGATTTTAAAAATAACGCGTTAAAAGTTAAACGCGTTCCAAATATCTTTGAAAATTTAAATTCTTTTGAGATGATGTTGAAAATGCTAAAAATGATGCAAATATATTTTAAAAAATTATTTTTTGGATTTTCGTTGTTGTTTTCTCTTTTTTTGAATTTTTCAAAAAATTTATCAAAACATGGATAAAAATTGAGGAATAACCCAAAATTAGGTTATGATAGTAATGACCAATCGGGAGGTTGAATGATAGGAGCACAAGTAAGCAAGTTTTTAAGTTTAACAAAGGCTTCTTCATAATGTTCAGTCCATTCAAAAATAGTATCCTTTGTTAGAAGGTTACTTAAAGGCTTAGATATTACACTAAAATCTTTGATGAACCTTCTATAAAAACCAGTATGTCCTAGGAATGATCTAACATCTTTCAGAGATTTTGGTGCTGGCAAGTTTGCAATTAACTCGATTTTAGATTTGTCAACCTCAATTCCTTTTGATGAAACAATGTGACTAAGTACAATGCCGTTTGTTACCATAAAATGACATTTTTCCCAATTCAGCACAAGATTCTTCTCTTCACACTTGGTCAAAACCTTTTCTAAGTTAGTCAAACAATCATCAAATGAATCGCCAAAAACAGAAAAATCATCCATGAAAATCTCAAGAAAATGTTCAACCATATCACTAAATATAATGAGCATGCATCTTTGAAATGTGTCTGGTGCATTACATAATCCAAAAGGCATCCTTTGATATGCAGAAGTACTAAATGGACATGTGAATGTAGTCTTTTCTTGATCTTCCAATGCAATTTCAATTTGGTTGTAACTCGAATAGCTATCTAGGAAACAATAAAATTCATGACCTGCAACTCTTTCTACGATTTGATCCATGAAAGGTAAAGGAAAATGATCTTTTCTAGTCATTGAATTAAGTTTCCTATAGTCAATGCACATGCGCCAACCAGTAACAGTTCTAGTGGGAATTAACTCATTGTTCTCATTTGTTATCATAGTGACTCTAGACTTCTTGGGTACAACTTGGGTAGGACTTACCCATTTGCTGTCAGAAATAGGATAAATGATTTCATTATCTAGAAGCTTAATGACTTCGTTTTTCACTACTTCTTTCATATTAGGATTTAGCCTTCATTGCATTTCTCTAGAGGGTTTAGCATTTTCCTCTAAATAAATTCTGTGTGTACAAATCAAAGGACTAATTCCTTTTATATCAGCTATGGTCCATCCTAATGCATTTTTGTGCATTTTCAGAGTTTGTAATAACTTACCTTCTTGATGTGTATTAAGTTTGGAAGAGATTATTACCGGAAAAGTTTCATTTTCTCCCAAAAATGAGTATTTAAGATTGGATGGCAATGGCTTCAAATTAGGTTTTGGTGGTTGAACACTTGAAGGTATGGACTTAATTGATCGTGGTGGCAATTTCTCAATTTATGGCCTCTAATTACTTGTCTTTGATTCTTCCTGAAAATAAATCATTTGCAAATCATCAGATTCATCAATCTCAATTTCACTGGAAGTGGTTGGAAATTGATCATGAATTAATTTTTCAGTAAAGTCCACTTCTTGTAAATCATTATCATCTCTAGGTTGCTTGCAAATATTGAAAATATTCATCTCCAATGTCATATTTCCAAATGATAGCTTCATCAGTCCATTCCTACAATTAATCAATGCATTAGAAGTTGCAAGAAAGGGATGTCCTAAAATAACAGGAAATGAATTACATACTTCAACAAGTTGTGTGTCCAAGACAATAAAATCCACAGGATAAATGAATTTATCGACTTGTACTAACACATCTTCAATTATTCCTCTAGGCACTTTTATAGATCTATGGCAAGTAAAAGAGTTATAGAAGTTGGTTTTAACTCACCTAGATTGAGACTCTGAAAAAATGAATATGGAAGTAAATTCACACTAGCACCAAGGTCAAGTAAGGCTCTTTCAATTTTATGCTCTCCAATAAAGCAAGAAATTGTAGGACAACTAGGGTCTTTATATTTCAAAGCATTATTGTTTTGAAGAATAGCACTTACTTGTTTGGCTAGAAAGACTTTCTTTTTCACATTCAGTTTCCTCTTCATAGTGCATAGATCTTTCAAAAATTTAGCATAGGAAGGAACCTGTTTAATAGCATCCAGCAAAGGTATATTGATCCTTACCTGTTTGAAAATTTCAAAAATTTCAGAGTTGTGATTGACTTTCCATTGTTTGGTCATGGCTTGAGGAAATGGAAGTGCTGGCGGAGAATCAGTCTTTTCTTTGAAATTTTTAGATTCAACCCCTTCCTTACCCTCAGAGATTGACTCATCATCTTTCTCATAAGGTTCAAGAGAGGGTTTTTCAATAACCTTATCACTGCGTAGAGTGGTGACTGATTTGACTTGATCCATGTGTTGGCTTCCGGAACTACTTGCATTTGTATTGTATTGCCCTTTCGGATTTTCTTGTGGTTGAGATGGAAACTTACCTTTCTCTTGGAAACTGAGAGCAGATGTTAATTTTGCAAGAGTATCTTTAAAATCTGTCATGTTTTGAGCAAGTTAAATATTGATTGTCTCTTGCTTTTCAATGAATGCATGCAATGTTTCCTCAAGATTTCTTCTAGAAGGTGGAGCATAAGGAGGTACATATCCATGAGAATTTTGGAAATTGTGGTGTGCTTGAAACGGTGGTTGTGAAGTTTGTGCAAAGAAAGAAGCATTGCGTTGATGATGACAAAGAATCGATTCTGATCATGGAATAAAAGGAAGATGAGATGAAGCCCACCGTTACGAAAATCTTTAAGAAATGAAAAGATCAACCTTGCCATCAGGAAGCCCCGAGTTTTCAAATCCTGCGATTGTGAATTGTCAAGAAGCACCAAGTTTTCCAACCCTTCTCTTGTTATCCCTTCAAGACTTTGCCAAGTCACCCATTATAACGAGACCAACATTTTCTTGTGTAGGTCACCCATTACAATGAGACCAATTCTCCATATTTCTTATCCGGGTAGGTCATGACACGACTAAAAGATTGATGTCTTCTCCCAAGTGCAGGAGTGTTGAAGTAATAAATAACCCGGCAAGACCGGGGTCGAACCATAGAGAGGTTAATTGTACAAATTATAAACGATAATAGTACAACAACAACAATAATAATAACAACAACAATAATAATAGTAATAACAATAATAACAACAATGGCAATAA